TGTATCATCTCAGTATGTATGATATGGAGTTTGTTTGAATAAATATTTTAAAAAATACCTTTAAGAGAAAGAAAAATAGAAAAGAATATAAAAAATAAGTTAAAAGTAACTTATTACATTTGCACAAATGAACTTTAAGGATGGCCATAATTAAATGTATGTATTAGATTGTCCTATTTTGTGTTTCATGTTATATTTCGAATATTTCAAGCTTCTTGATTGGCCTAGTTGATCTTATAATATTGCTGAGAGGATATGTCCTTTAACGTTTCTATTTTTCCATATATGCCTAAATTATTAGCCATGTCGCCTGATATTCTGGTTTATTCCCATAAATTGGTGAGAATTGTTTCAGACAATTGTATCACTCAATGGGATATGATGCACTAAAATACACTATCACTATCAGATTATGGGCCAATAATAGCACTGTAATCATATCCACTTTTCTCACAGCTTTTAGACTTGACTTCTGATCAATAGTTAATTCCATTTGCAAGGGACTTTAGCATTGGTTGCAAAGTTTGGTTTGAATTTTGATTAATTGGAAGAAATTTAAAGGCCAATTCTGATTCACTTGATTTTATTGAAGGAGAGTGGAAGACAAATACGGTTTAAAGAAGTGGTGAAGGTTGAAGAAATAGTTCTAGAAAGCGGAAAAATTGTTGACTCTAATTATTCAAAAAAATGTTATGATTTACCTCTTCCTCTTAAAGAGGAAAATAAATAAATAAAAGGATCCTAAAGTGGGATATATATATATATATATATATATATATATATATATATATATATGTATATATATATATATATATATATTCAAAATCTATCTCCTAAAATTGACAAAAACACATTGTACAGGTAGAGACGTTCGGTCATCCCTACATCGGCCACCGAATGGAAGAACCAGGTAGCCGAACGCCAATCGGCCACCTGAATCAGCCCATAATCACTTCACACTTAATCTAGGCTTAGGGGATAATTACTTGATTAAGGTATATTACCTAATACGGTAAATATGCCATAGGACCCATAAGGCTCAAGGCCCACAAATGTCAGTATAAATAGCTCAGGTCAAAAGGTAACGTCACTGTTCATTAATTACTCTCGATATTTGTGCCTGACTTGAGCGTTGGAGTGCCTTTTGCAGGTACCAACCCCTCACTCACATCGGATCGGAGCAGTCGTTCGGCCCTCAATCTACGAGAAGATTACTGGTGTATCCTCTAGACAGGTACACACATTATTTATCTGAACTAGTTAAAACTGAACACACATAAGTTATCAAAGTTGATTATAAAGATATTCGTATTTCTTAATTAAGGGTCGAATAAAATAAAATAAAAAAGGGTAAGCACACAAAATAGGTTACGTAAAAAAAAAAAATCGCAATTATGCTGTTGACAAGCCCAAAAATGTCTCGAGCAAAGGCAACAAATATATAAAAGTATGTCGTTCTTTATGCTTGACAAAGTATAACAGTGTCATACCGTCGCTTTGAGAAAAGATTCATGACTAATGGAGCATTTATTTAAAACTTCCAAAAACAAAGATTGTATAAAAAAGTAATTTACTTTTTAGAGATTTTATATAAAGTATAAGTTTTTTTTGTTATAATTATAAAAATCATTTTATTTTAAAATGTGATGATTTCAGTTTTCTTTAATAAAGAACCTCTTTTTTAATTTTTTTTTCAAGACTTAATAAACACGAGTTTTTCAAAATATTTATTTTTTCATGAAAAATTAACTAAAGAGGGTGAAATAAGCACACATGCTTTAAATAATGACTTTAAACTAAAGATAAATGCTAAAGTCATTATTTTAGTGAATCCACTTGATAATCCCTCTCATAATTTTCCTCCATAAGTTATATAGTTTTATCTTATCCATATAGCTACATGTTTTCAGAACTTTTGGCGAGCCATTCACAAGGAAGAAGGAAGATCAGCCACTGGGTTTAATAAAGATGAAACTAAGGGGTTGTAATTAACCAGTGCATGTGTTCAATGTAATCAAAGCTGCATTTTAATGCCACTTGCCAAAAACAAAAGAACTTTACTTTTTCTTTGAGAAAAGTTGGTGGTTTGTCTTGTCAAATACTATCATGCTGGCCCATTAGGCTTATACCGACATGCTCATGCATTCTTTCACTTCAAATGTAAAAATAAATTACTTAATGTTTGTTTTATTAGGCGTTGCAAATTGCAGGGTTAGTGAAAACCAGGATCATTCTAAGATTCTCATTAGCTTCATAATTATATTATGAAAAAAATTAACGATCATAGAGTTAGCATAAAAAGAATATGGTACATTTTAATTTGCTTTTAAAAAATACGGCAATTAACTCATATATATATGCATGAATAACATGCTAGAATTCGTGGATGATATTTATTAGTTCTTTGAGATTGAAAATATTCAAGACACTTCATGTAATTTCCGCAAGTTTACCGATCCCATCCTAATACTTTGTGTCAAATCCAAAAATTTTAAGTAATCACAACAATATTTATATATAAATTTATAATAATATTAAATATATAACTTTGTATTTTTAAAAATATAAATATATATCACCATTACTGTCTACAAAATTTTATATTTTAAAAATATTAAATAATTTTCTCACATTCAATACTTTTAAAAATATGTCTTTCTTAACTAAATAATAATTTAACTATTTAGCTCTTGTATAAAAATTTGACCTTTTTATATAAAAAAAAATTATAATATAGACTTGGCCAACTATCACTTTTTTATTGACTTTAATTAACTATAAATAATATAATATATACTAAAAAGAAGAGAGACATTTTGTGTCCCGTTAAAAAAATTAAATTAAAAAAATGAGTATATATATGAAAAAACTATATATTAACATGTTAGTTGGGCATTTGCCATATAAATCTGTCCCTACTAATAGTAATAGATTTAAACTCGATCGGGACCATGCCACCATGTTTTTTTTTTTATATTTATTTGATCATCCCCTTTTCTTTTTATTCTAGAATGCTGAAACCCTAAAATTGTACATTATTCAATCATTCCTATAAGAAAGATTATTATTATATTTTGATATTCATAACTTGTAAGAAAGAAAATCATGTGGCTCTATTTTGTCATTTTGTTTCTTTGGAACTCGACAAAATTAAACTTGTCCATATATTGAGTGATTACTTGAATGACTTTGCATTTTGTTGACAAAATACTTAAGCACGTATGTATACTTAATTATCTCCTTGAAAAGTATATTGGGATTAATTTGTTCGAAAACAATTAGAAAGAACTAATGTTTGAGCGTATGCATGATATTCCTAATGATACAAGGTGGTTTCTAGAGAGTGGCATGGCACATATGTGGTCAAAATAAACTTATAGAAGAAGAAATTATAAGTTACGACAAGTGATGATTGATTTGCATCTTTAATCAAGTGCATGCGCATAATAGGCTTATTTTGATTAGTGTGGTGCTTTCTTAGTATCAATGATGCACTAAATTAGGTTAAAGATTCTCCGTCCAAGGGAAGATTGTGGGCGCGTCTTTGTGCAAGTGAATGAGACAGAAAGTGATCGATTAGCACATGGAATAATTAATGGTTACAATGCTTCCATTTTCACAAGCTTAATCATGCAGGATCAGAATTTGACTGCCACATAAATTAACACTAGTATTATTCTAACTTCTGTAACACATACCTACTATATATAATTATAATTTATGATAAAAATCAAACCTACAAGTTATATTTTAATTTTATGATAAATAATTTACATTGTAGCTAGCACAAAATTATTTTTTAATTTTTGATAGTTTATTTTAAAATACTAATATAGTAATAATAATAAATCCACAATGAGATCTGATTAAGCAAAGGTGAAGATTTGTTTTGGCAAAATACAAAAAGGTTGATTGCCTCCATGAATGTGATCAACGATTTGAGCCAATAAGTAGAGAACAGTGAAAAGTTTAAAACTTGTTTAGTTTAATGGCTAGGGTCCGTACATATAGAATCAGAAAGACTGTGATGCTTTGTTTGGATTATGTGTATACAGTATTATAGCCCTACATGACCAAATCCGCTTTGTTAAGAATATATTGCCTGTCTAATCACTCTTGAATCCGTCATTGTACGATATATTATTCTAATTAAATAATTAACAATCAACCTATAAGGAATCTTCCTCTTACTGTTGGATTCTTAAGAAGAATTCAATTATTATCAACAATTAACAAACAAATACGTGATGCATGAATTAGCGTATGCAGAGTAAGTACATTATATTAAGGTGAAACCAACTAGATTAAAGTCTAAAAAGAATAGAGATAAGAAGAAAAGCAAGCATGTCTTTCAATTCTCTGATACCAAAATTTTAGTGCAATGCCAGGTCATAATTATAAATTCAGATCGATCTTAGTAAAAAAAATTGCAAAAAAGAAGAGATAAAAAAGGAACAGAGATCTTCACTAGAAGAGTCACAGGATACTTGAAGGGTTTGATTAACTGTTAAAACAATCTTTTGGGTGTAGTCATATCTGCAAATCAAATTGAACTACTTATGTCTCATACTAATAGTGGCTTTTAGTAATTTTTCTTTTTATAATAATCTCACTAGTTAACTATTAGAACTAATCACAAGATTTTCACACGAGAACAATATTTAGTAAGAAATTTCATGTTTGATTTCATGAAAACTCTTTGGATCAACCGCACATACAATAATGCAAGTGGAATTAATTTCTGGTTGAGGAAACTTTGAACAGTTGTGACAAAACAAAACAAAAATTCACAAGATCTCCACGCAGTTGGGGACGTTACACAAAGTAGATCAGACTCCGAAGATGATTTTTATTAGTAACCTGTTGGCATAAACTTTAATTTACCCTTGTCATGGAATCACTTTATTGTTGCGTAGCATTTCAAACATGTTGAAGATACTTAGTTATGTCTTTTAGGTTTTTCACTTACCTTTGAATTACTATTGCCAAGGTATCAGATGATGTATTTCTCAAATAATATTTTGCTTTGAATTCAATACATACATACATACATGCTTAGCTAGTTTTCAAATTTGAGGTGCCTCTTTTTCTCTAAGTTGACATTTCATTATACACTTGGCTTGAAATCCATTATTCTTAGACAACATAGAAAAACCAACCAAGACCCAACGTTGCGGGCTTGTTTGCCTGCCACTCCTTTCAGGAAATTTTTATTTGTTGAAGAAACAAATATACGTACCTTCCTTCAAGTTCATTATAACTAACCAACATTCTAGGATATTCACATAGAACTTGGGAAAAAGCTCAAGCACTGTTCTTATTGAAATCAACACGAGATTCTGGTTCTACCCCTTAATAATTCACTACAACAAGTGAGACTAGTGTTGTGAGGACTGTTGCATTTGGAAAACCATGTTCTGTGTCTGAGGTCCCAAGTAAGAAGACTCATAAAGAGCACTCTTGTGCAGATTCTGTCCCTGCATTTTAACCTCAAAGGAGTTGGCACCATAAGGAGTCATGAAGACTCTTTCATGTGCAGGACTAAGTGTCGTAGCCACTCCTGTGTTTGACTCATTGCTCCACTGAAAATGAGTTCTGGGGGTAGTAGAAGTAGGATTTGGCTGCTGCTGTGAGAGCGCGTGTGGTGAAGTGGATCTATTTGTGTCTTCTGATGAAGTTGTGGTGGTTTCAGTGAGATTCACTGTTGTTATGTCATGGATGCTAGCTCTTCTCTTGTCTTTGCCTCCTGAAAGTTGTCTTATGAAGTACTTCTGAGCATGACTAGCAACCTGTGTTGGGGTTCTAGTAATCACAAAATTGCGAGAAATATTTCTCCAATCACCTTTCCCATACTTCTTCAAACCCAGTAGAAACAATCTGCAAAAAACATCAAAAGTTGTTAGTTTAAACACCAAACTAAGAGAACACAATTTATTTTACCCAACAAACTCCCCCAAAAGACCTAGCTATCAAAAGAAAAATCCAACCCTTTAATATCTACACATAATTATTGTCCCTACACCTCTAGCTTTAATTAACTTTAAATTCCATCCATCAATTCTAGCTTTTTACACAATCACCATGCTTTCAAACAGAAATAGATATACAATCCCAAGTCCCAACTGCTGATCATAATGTCATATATAAAAATCTATATGTAAAGTTACCTGTCAACACTGTGAGTCTACTTGAATACAGATTTAGAAAAACTTTTGAAAATATTTCTACTGAAAATAAAGAGTTCTTCTCAATAAAAAAATTCTCATAACTTCTTTTAAACCTGTATCCAACCAGGTTCTATATATAAGTAATAAAAAAAACAATGCGTCAAAACAAATGCAAAAAGGTAAAAATTTACTTATGTTCCTCTTCAGTCCAAGGCACTCCTTTCTTCCTTTCATGCTCATGAGGTCTCACTGAGGAAGATCTCTTTCCACTTACTTTAAACCCATCATAACTAGGAGTGTTCACCCAATCTAAGGTGAAGGGTGAGGTGGCAGTGCTATAGCCAGGAACTGGGATCAAACCAGCTTCTATATTGCAAACATCCACTTCTAACTCCTTGTACTGCCTGATCACATCCACAACAGACTTTCCTGGAATCATTTCAGCCACTTTGTGCCACCGATCTGGGGTATCCTTATCATGCACCGCAAGAGCATTTTCAAAGAGCTTGTTCTCTTCAGTGGTCCATTTTGTGCTCCTGCTATCTTCCACCAACCAATTGGTGTTGGTGTTGATGTTGGAGTTGGGAGTACAAGGTGTAGGAGGGAGGGTTATAGTTTCCCACTTCATCAATTCAATTTACAAGCACAACACAAGCTACTGCTCATACAATCAAATTTGGGCTTATTCAAAGCAAGATTGAAACTTGAGGGGTGGAAATTAAACTGAGGAAGATAAGGCAAAGAGAAATGAGAACAGAAGTGGAGGTTTTGCAAGAACAATATTAAGGGTAAATCCACAAGCACTTTGGAGGGAATAAGAATACCTCAAGAATCTAGAAACGACCCACTTGATCAAAAAAAATCAGAGAGAATGCTCCAAATTGGTGTTGAATGAAGATTATTATCTATTATCCGATTGGTCTAAATTCTTACAAGATAACCCTGCTTACCCAATGAACTTCCCTCTCAAATACCAAACAAGAACTCAAAAATGAAACTTTTAGTGAGAAGAAAAATTTGGGAAAGCAAGAGGAGAAGCCAAACACAATAAATGTGGTAAGTGATAACCCAATTAGGAAACAGCAGAAAGAGTCAAGTGCTAATGAGCAACTGAGGGTAGAGAAAGACTTGTTCTAAAAAACAAAAAAAAAAACTGTTCTTTCTCCCTTTTTCCCTGTCTAACAAGGAAAAGAGAAGAAATAATATTAAACAAACCAACTCAGCAGAAATAATAATTATAGGATCTCCAAGCATGAAAGCTGTTATGTGCAAGCTGAAAAGCAAGTGACCATACTTCAAGAAATTAATTTAAACAAAATTGACAAAATAAAATAAAATAAAATAAAATAAAATAAGAATGAGGAACCATCTTAAAAAAAGTGACGAAGTTGGTGTTGTTGAGCTGTGATTGGATATAATGTGTGTTGTGGGGACTGCCTGCAACTACATATAATGGACACTATCGGTTCTGTGCATTTTTCAGAAAAATAATAATTAAGAAATTACTTACTTCATAGACTTGCAAATTGCAATGGTTTGTTTATTGATTAGTTTGATAATTTTGAATTTTCTTTTCTTCTATTGGTTGGAAATGCGACAAGAAATGAGGATTGGCAGCTCATCATAAATGATGGAAGAGCCACCTGCTACGCACTAGTCAATGACATTCAGCAAACACCAATTCTTATTTTTTTTATAGCCTCCTAACATATTCAGCCAACTTTCTATTTTATTTTTAAAATTAATATTATATACTTTTTTTTTATATATTTTTAAGAATATGACACACAAATTAAGAAATATAATTAATACATTACCTTCATTTATATTTAAGTCATTATTGATTTCTTAACATGATTTTATTATTTTTCATTTATGATAAACATGTAAATTATTTTAAAATTATGTAAAAGTAATTTTTAATGTCATGCATTTAACCATATTATATTTAATTTGTTAATGATTTAACAGAGAAAGTATTCACCCTAAAAAAACACAGAAAGTATTAAATATGACTAATTTTTTTCAAAAAAATAATTAATGTATTAAACATCATAAATTTCCTTAAATAGTTTCTTTTTATTTCTTTAACAATTATCTTTAACGCACTCTTTAACAAACCTATAAGCTAAATTTCCCCTTCGAAAATATACATTGATAATTGGTTTATTTGAACTTTTAAAATGAAGCATTTTTATTTTTTTATCTTTCTGACTTTCTTACTTAACTTAATGTTACTTTGACCATTATTTTTAAATATATA